CCTCTGCAGAGGCTGAGACCTACACTGGGCTCAAATTTATCCTTTACACATGCTTTGTCCTTACATCTACACTTTTCCAATATCAATAAAAAATAATGTTGAAATAACCTGCATATCAGCAGCACAATGATCTCTAGTTAAGCATCACTGAAAAACACTACCTTGACACATGCAACAGGACAACCAAGAGTAGAAAGCAAGAGATCTCTTGTAGGAACCAAGTATCTTTGACACTAAAGCTCTCAGAAGTTACACAGAGAGAAGGAAGTTAAAAGGAAGGTAGTAAGAGTACTGAGAGATGGAAACTAAGCAGGCAGGGAGTGAGACTGGAGCAAGAGCTCGTTTCAATTACAATAGACACGTGGGAAATAAAAGTTTCCTCCTCTAAATAATAGACTGTACATTCAGTTCATTGCTGAATTTAGGATTAGGGGGGTGACAGTCCATACACGGCTGCTAAAAAGGGTCTGTGCAATAACAAACTGGAAATTGTCATAAATAATAACATTACTAGTGTGTGATTCAATCTGCTCTCCAACAGTATGAACAGCAGCATGGCAGGTACTTTCTGAAAAGGAAAATCAGATTCTATTTGTTCTTCCATCCCTTTAATACACGGGGATACATTTTTATTGTTCTCACAGTTCCCTGACAGCTGAAGCATCTTTCTGTAGGTGACACTTCATAGCCATTGCCAACAGGCAGAGGCTGGAACAGAATGTATTTATTTTACCCTCACCTTTTGCATATGACTGCGCCCCTCCTGCCCTTCTTTCCGGCTTTTATGCTTTAAAAGTGCTCGCCTTTCAGCTTCTGTATGCAAGATGAGATGAGAAAAAGGGATAATCGCCTATCGTTGAGTTTCTCTAGCTCATACACTGCTCCATAGCGCAGCTGAACTGGACAGGCTCATTGTAGAGTTGCTCTCCTCTCCCTCAGCCCAAGGACAGGGCAGGACTGACCATGCTTTCTTCCACAGTCTGTGGAGAGACTCTCAGCTGCGAGAGCTGAAAATGTTTTTACAGGCAGGAAGAACAAACAGGTCACCAAAGCGGCGCTGCGCACCCCATGTGCCATGTCACACGGAGAAGAACCCTGCTGATCCTGGAAGAGCGCTCATGTTCTGGGCGCGCTCATCTACATGTGCTTGTCATTTCCACTGATAAGCCTTTACGCTAAAAATAAAATCATCAACTTTAGGTGGAGTGTTGGTGCAGATACTGTCTTTACCCCAAGTGGGCACTAGGTAGCACTATCACTCTAAGAAAGCAAACAGAAGCACATCAGCAAGGCAATTGTTTTCCCTTTCTGAGACTGGAAAATAAATGACTCTTACCAGAGTATAACTTATATTCATAAATACACTAAAAATACAGTTGCAGCATTCTAATCATCTCTGATATATAACAGTGGCTTGCTCCCCCCCCTCCTTTTTTAACATCAGAATTCATGATCTTGAATCTTTTAAAAGCAACACTGGGAATTTGCACTAATATTTTATGGTTGGAAACATCTAAATATATGGTTTAAGACAATTATGGAACAACTCCACAGGATGATCACGCAGTACTTGCATCACCTGAAGACCTAGAAAATGATTCTCTGTACCTGTCACCAACCTTAAGAAAATATATAAAGGTGGTGGTAACAGCTGAACACAAACCTCTGCAAACAGTACAAGACAGCATGAACATTAAACCTGGATTCAAGAGCATACAAAAAAAGAGCTAAGTTTTTCATAACTTTTGTAACTTCTTATGAAAGACAAAATTATTAGAGTGTCCAAAGTAGGGCTATAAAGATGGTGAAGGGTCTGGAGGGGAAGATGTGTGAGGAGCAGCTGAGGTCCCTTGGTTTGTTCAGCCCCAAGCAGAGCAGGCTGAGGGGAGGCCTCATGGCGGCCTGCAGCTCCCTCACGAGGGAAGCGGAGGGGCAGGCGCTGAGCTCTGCTCTCTGGGGACAGCGACAGGACCCGAGGGAACGGCATGGAGCTGGGACAGGGGAGGGTCAGGCTGGGGGTTAGGGAAAGGGTCTGCACCCAGAGGTGGTCGGGCACTGGGACAGGCTCCCCAGGGCAGTGGGCACGGCACTGAGCTGCAGGAGTTCAAGGAACGTTTGGTCAGCAATCTCAGACACAGGGTCTGTTTTTTGCTGGTTATGTGTGGAGCCAGGAGTTGGATACAATGACCCCTGTGGGTCCCTCCCAGCTTGGGATACTCTATAATTATTAATAATCTCCTTCAGGAAGTGGTTCTGGACAGATGTGTACTGAATGTCACTGCTGCAGTGCAGTCCCCAGGTGGCTGTATTTCAGTGGCGTGCTCAGAAAGCTTCTGTACTTTCAAATGTATTTTGGACTGCATGATTTTATTTATAACATGTAATTATTTTAGATTCATCACTCAGATTCTACTTCAGGGACATTATTTGTATCTGTATCTTCTCCAGAAGGAGGAGGACAGCAAGCCATATGCTGAAAGGAAGTGGTTTTCCTGGTATTTAATCATGTTTGAGTTGGAAGGTGCAGCTATGACTAATGGGCTGTTCCTGAAGCCTGGAAAATTTTCTTCAGTATCTGAGAATCTTAATAGTGTTTTTTCTCCTGTTCTAGTAACAAAGCAGCTTTAATGAATCAAGGATTAGAAATAAGGAGTCTACAGTGATAGTCAACAGAGCATAATTTTAAAAGTTCATATACAGGAAAAGACAATTTTCTCTATTTTTAGGGGATGGAAAGGAAAAATAGTAGATTTCCCACCTCTGAACTGTAAGAAATCTCCTTCATCTTTTGAGTGCCCAGCTGTTCCCACATTACAACTTACAGAACCATCATCTCAATGCAAACTGATTGCAAAGCTAGGAGCACTGAACATCATAAATTGAGGGGATTTTTGAACTTCCCTTCTTAAGACAGTTTTGTGCAAGGTAATGATACCTCAACGATACGAGAAAAAGGCAAAAGTAAAAATCCAAGCCTTTTGCATCCAGAAAAAGTGTAACCTCCTTTATGCCCAATGCATCTTTCTGTTCTCCTACTGCTTCTGGACTTCCACCTGACTGAGCTAAAAAGCTGAGCTTTCTTGAAGTCATTTCTGAAAAAGCAGCTAGAATTTCTGACTCCACCCTTTTCTTGGAGGTAGTTTTTTCTTTCCGCATTCCTCCTTTTCCAGTTCACCAAGTTTCAACACTTCGATTTCATCTTAAAATATCATAACTGCACTACCCAAAGGCGCTCTTCTGCTCAGGTCATTCCCATACCTGATGCATGAAATCTGCCAACCCCTCCTGGCCAGGAGCCCTTCCATTCACTACTCAGATCTCTTCCAGTGGCTCACTTCTGTACTCCTCATTGCAAATTACATACGTGAAGTGCATTTTAAAGAATGAAAATGTGATGTATAAAAGACCGTTATAAGCAGACTACTTCTCCCCTGGACATGTCACTATCCACACTTCCAAAACACCACTTAGTCGAAAGCAAGACAAGAAATTTCTAGCCTTCTACAAGCCTGATTTGAAATTCAAGGGTAGAATTAGCACAAAAAGCCTTCTGCATCATTAGCTAAATTCAACCATCTCTTTCAAGTACTAATTCTAGATATCTGGTGAGGTGAAAGCAGATGATTTACAACTTTCCAAGGGTACAGCTGACACTGTTGAGCTGCAAGAACACAAGGGACACGCATATATCAAATCCCACTGGAAAATTAGTCACAGGTTTCTTCCTATAAGCATACTTTCGAAACTGGTCTGTGACGCTACATTAAGATACTCCCGTTTGGAGTCTGCTAAGAAACAGCAAGTACTGAATAAATTTTTTAGCACATTCTCAATATCTTCTCTCAATCATGAATATTTCCTAGCAGGATTTCTATTAATCTCCTCCTAATATTCTCATGCAAGATTTAACAAGTAAACACTGACTAAATGTGCTCTGGAACTGTATGAATAATTTCCTCGAGTACTACAGAACACGAAGGGACAAAGTATTTTGTGAGAGTATTTTTGCCTTCACAAACAAATTAAACCTCTCTGAATTGACGACATAAATAATTCAGCGTTATTCCATTTACTAAATTGGGAAAAAGTGAGGCAGAGCGCACATCTTTAGGAAAGCACTGTGTTCTACAACAGAGAGATAATCCTATTCATAAACAAGTCTCCAAGCCACAAAATAGCTCCAATTAATGCATTGCATTTGTCTGAAAATGTTGATCCTGTCAAAATCAGCGCCCAAAACTGAAAAATTAAAGGAGAAAAATAATCATAATCTGCATGTTTCATTATCTGCTGATATTTTCAAATATACTAAAAATTCAGACATGGGCTCCTAAGCCCTTGGGTGCTTTGAAAGCCTCCTGTTTTGCTTAAAGCCAGTTTAACTGATACACCAATTCCAGGAGGCAGTTTTAGAACAGAAGCTTTGCAGCAGATATACCGGCACATATGTCATAACCTTGCTCACAGGCCCCTCCTGAAGAGAACCTCCTAAAAAGTAAATTAAAAATCCTTCAAAGCAGAATATGTTTTCATTTGAAAAAACAGGCAGTGCTACATGGTATAAAACCTCAAATGAATACTGTTCATTAAATACCCCAGGACTGCAATGACAGGAATCAGAAAAGAGTGTAGGTGCAAGCCAACAATAAAAACAGCAAGAAAAATGTATTTGCTTTGATATGATAATTTGGCTTTAACAAAACCTCACGGAATGGACGTGCTTGTATTCTATATGGAAATAATAGAGATAGTACAAGAACACCAAAATGAAGGAGACTCTTTTGCAGCAAGAATGTGACAGTTAGCAAAATTCTACTGCATTTCCCGTGCCGCAATGTAATCGCGCCTGTCTTTGCTATCAGGTGTGGTGTGTGTGGGTGGGGGTACCTTCAAACATAAATTACCAATAAACACACATTGTATTTAGTGTCAGGGAATTAATTGAGCTTTCCGGAATGAAAGACTTTTGGCACAAAAATTATAAACCAAGGTTGACCTACCTGAATGGGTCCCACTGACATCAGCAGGTTTTTCAGTTGGACATCAGTAGTTGATGAAGAAAGCCCTTCAACTGACACAATACAGGGCTGAGGTTTGCACTCCACCACTCGCAGGTTCTGTTTATTTGGCATCAAGCGTCCTCGGCCCATCTGGCCTGCTACTCCTCTGCCTCTCCCATGCATAATGACCTGCCAACAACAAAAGTAACAGTATTTTGATTTACTTACCTAGTGTTTCTGCTAAGCGCATTTGACAGATGATATAAAAGTTAGCAATTTACTTAAAGATTTGATTAAAGCATGTGTTGATTTAAAACAGCTTGTTGCTGTTAGCTTATTTGAAAGGCCACACATTAACATATCTCTCTATTGCTTATATAAACCTATTTTAAAGGGACAGAAAGTTAGAGATCATATTGAGACTAAAGCCTCAGCCTTAGCACAGATCAAGCAGTGGAAGGTCCCAGACCAAAGTGTATAACCTCGTTTTCAACACTGATCACATTATCAGGCATGTATTTAGCTCCCATATTTTGAGTCTGGTCAAAAAATCCAAAGTGATCCCTCTCATTTTTCTTAACCCACAGATATATTTAACGTATGCATAAGATGGGCAAACTGCTCCAAGTGTCTCCAGTCTCTGCTGCTTGCAACCACTAGTCCATTATCTGGATGGAGTGTTTAGGCATAGAGAAAAAAATAAAAAAATAATTGTTTTACAGTTCCTTTCCCCCAGATCCTGTAGGATCTGGAACCACAATATTCCCTGGTGCAGGCAATATGTATTCATTCTTGTAAATTAAAGGTCAAACAGTTGGGGAGAGAAAAATCAACAATGAAACAGTAACAAACATTGAACAATTAACACTTAACATTGAGATAACACTCAACACTTCCTCTTCTTCAGCAGGATTCCTACTTGAGAAGCCTAGGTAATGACTTTTCCTCTCTGCATCAGCAAGGAAATCTTAGCTTGCCATGAAGCTGGAAGGTTACTGCTCACAGTTCAAAACCAACCATTAACTTAAAAGCCAAAATCCCAGTTATTTTCAGGGAGCATCTTGGTTTGAAGATGAACAGAAAGCACACGCCAGTGCAACCTGAACGCCCTCCCTGCCTCCTCCCAGTGAATGATCAGTGCGAAAGCCTCATTCTGAGCTCACCGACTGTTCTGAGCAACACCAGCTTTGAGAACCACCCGAGGAGCATCCTGGAACAGCTGCTGCGTGCTCCTACGTGTGCAGCAAACAGCCTGAATACAAGCAGTAGCACAACTTCAGAATAACTCCTGGGTTTTAAGCCAGAAAGCACGTTGGACGCCGTTCCTCTAGTAGCTATCTTGAGACACACGCATTTCCCATGGGGAATACTGTGCTGGCCAGAAAGTCATCGGATGAAACAACTTGCAGGCATCACCACTCTGTGCTGGATACAAACAGGCCTCTATAGATTAAATGCTTTATATGCAATTATGCATCTCCTGGGTCATGCAGCCCTGTGCTAGTAATTGACAAACAGAATGCTAGTTATTAATATAGCAACACAGCTAGACAGTAAAACTTCTAGCAGCGATATGCATCTAAAAATCACCTTTTTAGGTTGATGGATTCCCTGGATGTTTTTGACTCCTTGAGGAGCTGGTGAATGGATCTGTGCCTGCTGCTGCTGTTGGTGCTGCTGCTGCTGCATTCCCTTTGTCAATGTGACCTTCCGCACTGGCTGCTGTTTCGGCTCCAGAGGTTGTTGAGGCCGCTGGGGCTGGCCCTCTGGGTGAAAAAAGCCAGCATCCTCTCCCCCCTGCTGAAATCAACAACACAACACGCGGCTCAATGTCTACGCAGTGCAAACACTCGCCCTGAGAAACCTCCTGTGACATCCAGCTCAGTTAGAGCACAGCAAACACTCATCGATTTGCCTATTAAAACAAACCAGCGCCTGTTACAGAAGTGTGTAAGGGCTCAGCCTGGAAATTACGCTTTAGTCTAAAACAAACCCACAGTAGCTAAGTACAGCTTATTTCGTTTGAACTTTATTATCGATTGCTGTGTTCAGTAACATCTTTTCAAACCCAAATCAGCGAGGTATTTTCACTTCTCTTTCCAAATTATTCTTCCTTCCAGGTTTACATATGAAATATGCTTATTGCTTTTTGGTGGTGGTGGATTGTTTCCCCCCCATAGAGACGTACACGTTACAGAGAACTGTGAAGGCTGGAAGAACCACACAAGTACTCTGCTCATCTTTCAAAGTTGAATCTCTAATTAGAAATTAGTATTTATTTTGAAGTGCATATTTATGCTGCCTGCTTCCATACCAACAAGCTTTTAAGCTATCTTCATCCCCAACCACTGTCCAGGTTTGGAACAGTTCGAACAGTTCTTCCCCAAGGTTTTTCTTGTTTGGTTTGGATTATAATGCTCTTACTGTAAATATTTATACTCACAAGCACAAATAAACAATGCCCTCTCCGATCCAATGACCCCTAACTCTTTCTACTACTTCTCACTGAGCACACAGCACAGATGTGAGGTGAAAGCACTAGGAGATGAGTGATTCACTTCCACTGCCCCTGCCCAAGCAGTTTGGCTTTGTACAAACAGAGGGGAGATTCTTGAATTTATGTCTAGCTTTCCAGACTAGATACCGAAAACCAGCATCTATAAAGGGCTTCAAATCATCGCATGCTTTCTGCATGGTTTTGACAGTAAAATTTATATATTAACTGGAATGCAACATTCTCCAATCTGCTAATATTAGTCAACATTGTTCGTATTATTTTACATGCTCAAAAAATACTGATGCTTGCTGCCTGAGCACCCAGCATTGACCTGAGCACGCAGCTGCAGGACCAGCAGGAAGCCCCCCATCACCTACTGCCACTGGGGAGCAAGGCAGGGGAAGAAGTTCATTAATCCCCAATCCCACTGGTGCAACACCTGAGAGTCAGGCTGAATAAACACAGACAGGACTGCAGGCTTTATTTAAGCCCATGACAAACCTCATGCAACCTTGCAAAAGCCCTCGAATAGAAGGTGCATCTGAATAAAAAGTAGTAATTGTGAAAGCATCTCTATTTACGCAGTTTCTTTCTTTTTGCTTAAATATTGACGAGTCAAAAGTCCTTCTGCATCTGTACCAGATGTCACTAACCAGAGAGGTTCATGTTAACCGGCACGTTTCTTGGGGACAAGCAGACAAAACACAAGGCTGCAGAAGGAGCAGGTTTATGGTCCAAGAGTGAGATTACCTCGACTGAGAAAGCAAATCATTACGCCTCTACCAGGATTACACAAAAGCAAAAGAAACACCTACTGAAGACCACTTGCTACAAAACCCTTTCACTATTATTCGAAAAGAAGTAGTCCAGAACAGGCAGTATCTATGATATTCTCATATTTTCAAGACCACTAGTGCACAATTCAAATCCCTAAACCACATTCTGTTTTATCCAGTAGATGCAGGCAACAAGTCCTCAAGAACTCGACTATGTAAATCCCAGACAAGTTAAACCCCCCAAAATTGGCTTCATCACTGCCTTGCACCATCTACATTTCAAAAGCACAATCTGTCATAGGGAAAATCTTGAAGCTCTTCCTACTTAAGGGCTTTCTGCCATGGTATCCACAGTGAGAAAGCAAGAGAAAACTGCATCTATTTTTCCTACTTCTAAACAAATTTGTTTTTTTCTGTGCTAAACTGAACGGCTCCATGCTGAATGAGGCTTCACAATTTTGTACATAAACCTTTGAGATCAGTAACTAGAAAGATATTATGAAGTTTTCTCTTCAACTGCTGCTCAAAAAAAAGAAAAAAAGCAGCAGCTCTCCTCTTCTGAAAAAACAAACATATGCACATAAACAAGTATCTTAGCAAGAACCCAGTATTAAATCCTCTTCATTTTAGTATTAATTCCACTATGAGCATCAGCATAAGCCTTATGCTCTGGTCAGATAATTTCCTTTATTCAACCTTACAGCAGCTGGAAGATTATGAAACAAAAACGAACAAAAACTCCTAGGAGGAATTTAAATGGAAGAATGGGGAGTTAAAATCTAAACTACGCAACCTGCCTGCTGTGAAAAACAGCCATAAGTATCTGCAACCATTTGTTTCTAAACCAAAAATTATTCCATCCCATACAAAGAGCATGAGAGCAGGGCCCTCATGTACAAAATGTGCTCATTACTGAAACTTCAGAAGCAAACAACCATTTGCCGTAAGGGGCAGGGACAGTCAACAACCTAATATTTAACTTGCAAGCCCAATTATCACCAAATAAAACTGTAAAGATTAATGCAGGAAACAAACAATCACACAAAACTCGAACAGAGCCAAATGCAAACACACAGTATTGGTTCAAATTCATGGAAGATCTAATGGGACTTTTTCTCTGCTGGGGTCTATAGTGGGTTGAGACCCAGTCTTGGGTTGAGACTCGGTCCGTGGGTTTCAAGCACTAGCACGATGTTCCTGACAATTCCCTGGGATGCTGATCCAGTCTGAAAAGGTGGAAGCATCCCTGGACTTTTTATGAGTTAATACATTTTAAAAACATGAAAACCTGTATAGAACAACAAAGGAAGTCCACAGGGTAAGAAACAGAGGGAGCAAAGCCTGCTGGATCCTGCAACAAGAAAGGAAAACAGGACAACTGGATCAAAACTTTGTAACGCCTCTCTGAACACCTCCTGCCACTGGAGATGACTGGAGCTGGCAAGGACAGAGGGCTCCCTGCTCACTGACCTTCAGCAGTACGTTGCAGCACTGTACAGCCAGTCCTGTCTTCCACTTTAGACAATGTTGGTGTTTTTCTTAAGGAAATGAAAAACAAACACAGCTCCTAGGTCAATATGCACTTAACAAGCAAAACAAAGTCTCAGGTAACAAATTTTAACCAGCTGAAAAAAGAATCTGTGCCAAAGTCATGTCAGTGCAAGGACCAGCACTGCTAGAGCCAAAGGGCTCTAAATCTGCATAGTGCTATTTAGTGGCAAATTAAAACATGGCACTCACCATCATACCATCTTTAAACTCCTTACATGCAAGGTAATTGCTGGCTTTTTCAGGAATGCAAATAAAGAACTAAGTCTCAAGCAAAAATAAAGCATAAAGAGCTTTAAAGCCTGGCCTTAAAGCTACAAAACCTCACACATTGCTTACGGGCCACACGTTCACATGAGAATATTAACACCTCAGAGGAAGAAATGCATGCCTGTAAATAACACTGTTGGATGTTCACTCCTGGCTTTCGCTCCAGAGGCAAACACCCGGGCAGAACCCATTAGGCTACTTAAACACATGGCAAAGCTACAGGTAAGGAGGCAGGCAGAGCAAACTGGTAGTGCAGAAGCTACCAATACAACATCTAAGTGATGGAAACTGAACTGCTAGCATCTCCTCTACTTCAAACATCCCACTTCTACCTCATTTGAGATCCACTTTTTCTTAAGGACTTGATTTCTCTAATGATGTTTTCATTAGCTAACATCCCCCCTTCCCCCCAGATATAAACATGTAGAAATAGAATGATATATTGTAAGTCTTTATAAAGCACTTTTTTTTTTTCCTACCCTTTTGGGATATACTGGGCAACCCTAAATCCTTCTGCAAGGAATCTATCCATCATCATGGCCTGCTTCATACAGCCTGATGCACTGGAAGTGCTGAACAAGGTAGAACAATTCTCAGCCCACCACAGTCCTATGCTAAGACCTGAGACCGATTGTTACAATTTCTGATTTTATAATGCAAATTTCTCTAAAGTCCCCTACAGATAGGTGAATTTCATCTTGTGTCTGCAAACCAGTAAAGGGAAAACGCTTTTCAGTTATTGCCTACTGCTTAATTCCTGCATTACAAACCATTTTGACCTTCAAGCAATGAATTCCCAACTTTTATACAAGGTCTACCTTCCTAAATTAACATGAAATTAGGAAAGTGTTCTCCTGAATGAAACTTTATAGTTACTTGCCTAATTCAGGAGTAATAAAAACACTTTTAGTAAGGGACAGGAGTTCTGTTCAGGGGAAATCTCAAAAACTGTCTTTCAAATTGAAAACACTGTGAGATTGCTAGCAGTGCCAAAACTAAATTAACTTATAATACTGCATGTAATTAAACACTAGTCAAAAGATCTAGATGAAAGGATTTGATCTATACGGTGAACATTTTTCAAACGTTACTGTGTAAGAATCTGCAGACTAACAAAAAAGAGAAGTTATGCCATTTGAGGGCCATGAATTTCAGAATCAGTTCCCCGATAGTAATCGGGGCTGGTTTCCAATATTGACACTCGTTCTCTCACTTGTCAGTGCTGTGCATTCAGAAACACAAAGACCATCCTGCCAAATAGGAGATCACGAATCCTAACCCCAGAATTTTCTGATCCTGCCCGAATTTCGCAAGCTGAAGCTCTGCGCTCCATCATAATCATTGTGACAGTTTTGTAATGAAGATGAAGTTTATTTGCCACCAACATTAGCAGGACAAATTTATTTATAACAAACGCCTTAAAATGTACTGATAAAACTGCCTATTGATAGTGTCAGAGCTTCCTGCAATTTGACAGATCAAATCTTATTTTCATTCTTAAACCCCATGAAGGAATGGTATCACCAACCTGCATTCTGTAGTGAGCAAATTGATTAATCCCCCTCTATAGAAATCTCAACTCTTGATTACACCTATCAGACGTTAAGCAGCATTATTCTAGAGTGACAACACTTGACAAATTCCCAAACCATTTTTCTCAGCCTTTGTGGCCCTGCTAGCTTGTATTAACCCTGATGAAAAATTAATTT